ATCTTAACTGATGGCGGATCACAGATGTCATTTATTCGATCTGATTTAGCTAAAGAACTAAAATTAAAGACTTTAAGGAAAGAAAGGTTATATATTTATTCTTTTGGGTATATCCAGGATAGACTAATGGAATATAATGTTGTTCAAATAACCCTGAAAAGTATACATTGCCCTAATGACTCAATCACTGTTGAAGCTTTTGTTACAGACACAATTTCTGAAGCGATTATAAAAATTCCCTCCAAAAACATTTTAGAAATATAAAATCAGAAAGTTTAAAATTAGCCGATAATGGTGAAGCAGCTGAAATAAAAATATTGTTAGGATCTGATTCATATTGGGAAGTGCAAACAGGCGAAAAGAAAGGAGTAAGTAATAAATTACTTACTTCTTTCTTTGCAGTGTCTTTTATATTTGGTTGCAGTGTCTTTTATATTTGGTTGGTTCTTGGTTGGATTTTTGGAAGGTCATTAGTCTAGTGCCTGTATTTTTACAACTGGTGCTTCTCACTGCTTGAAGGAAGATAATAATTCAGTTAATGACTGTATGCGAAGGTTTCGGACTTTGGACCACTTGGGTTTAGAGGAGAACAAGAATCCTGATGATAAATCAGTCACTGAGAAATTTGAAAAAGAATTGCATTTTACTAATGGTAGCTATGTAGCTCGTTTGTTATGGAAATCACATCATGAAAACTTGAGTAATAATTTAGAAAATGCCAAGTGACGTCTAGTATCTTTGGTTAATAAACTAAAAAACAATGAATGGCTTAGGGCGAATTAAGATAGCATAATAAACGAACAGTTAAAAAATGAAATAATTGAAAAGTGCGAAATTGAAAATTGTGACAGTAGTAAAATATATTACATGCCACATTCTCCAGTGGTAAGAAAAAATGTATCAAAAACTAAAGTCCGTATCATGTTTGACGCATCTTCGAAGTGTAATGGGTTATCTCTGAACAATTGTTTGGTGCCTGGCCCAAATTTGAATCCTTCTGTTTTGGACTTGATATTGCGGTTCAGACAATACAAACATGCGTTCTGAGCAGACATTGAAAAGGCCTTTGCCTTTCTCCAGATTGGAATCTCTGAAATTGATAGAGGTTTTTATACTTTGATAATAATTACAGTTTGAAACATTATAGAATGACTCGCGTTCCTTTCGGTGTGTCATGTAGCCCTTTCATTCTGGCGTGTACTATAAAAAAGCATATAAAGAAAATAGAGTTAGAAAATGCAGATATTTTGGAGATGTTGAGCTGTTCGATCTACGTATATGATGTTTTCTATGGTACAGATTCTGTGGAACAGGCTTTTAAGTTAAGTACTGGAGTACTTTTAAGTTAAGTACTGGCACGCCTATTGCATGCTTAAAGATACAGGAATGAATTTGCGTCAGTTTAATCCAAATTCAGAGAAACTCAAAAAACTTTGGGATGATTGTGGAATAATGAAATCAGAAAATGAACTAAATAGCTCCTTAAAAGTATTAGGGCTTAACTGGTGTACGAGTAAAGATGTAATTTCCTTGACCATAGATAACTTGTGCGAAATATTAAATAGTTGTAGAAAAGCCACAAAAAGAAATATATTAAAAGTGACTCAAGAGTCGTAGCTAGGGTTTTCAGCGCCCAGGGACAACTGAATATTTCGCACCCCCTACTGCTTGCCAAGGATGGAAAACATTTAATTCTAAAATGTCGTAACATCAGTTTGGCGCTCCTTGGATTCTGCGCCCGGGAACAGATGCCCCCCTCTAGCTACACCCCTGAGGTGACTGCTACTATTTTCGATCCAGTAGGTTTCTTGGCGCCATTTGTATTACGTGCAAAATTGATAATGCAAAACCTTTGGCAGTTGGGTTTAGAATTTGACGCCGAAGTTCCAACTGATTGTAAGCAGTTGTGGTCCGAGTGGAGGGGTGAAATCGAAAAGTTAAAGAAATTTCTCGAGAATATTTCCCCGGCAAATTGAATCAAAATAAAGATATCGAACTTCATTTATTTTGTGATGCGCACCTATTAAAGCATACGGTTCAGATACATATTTTAGATCGATTGAAGAAGGGCAGGTAGCATTCATTATGGCAAAATCTAGAATTGCACCAATAAAACAAAAACTCACACTTCCAAGGTTAGATTTGCTAGGAGCATTAACATCGGCAAGACTTGGTAAAAATTTAAAAGAGCTGTTTTTAATTCATGAAGAAAATATTTATCTGTAGACTGACAGTATGATAGTGGTTCATTGGATTCATAGTGCTCATGAATGATGGAAAATGTTTGTAAAAAGTCGAGTATCTGAAATACAATCATTAACTTGGCCAAGTAACTGGAGACATTGTAATGGGAAGTCCATTCCAGCAGACATTTTATCTCGAGGATGTTCAGCCGAATATTTGTTATCTTCAAGATTATGCCAATCTGGGTCAGACTGGTTAGTTAAATCAGTGAGTGCTTGGCCTAGTAAATTTATCGTGACAACAGAGTTTTCTGATGCTGAATTAGAGCGGAAAAAGTGTATAAATGATACAACAATACTACTGTCTATTGCAGAAAATTCCTTAATTCTCTGTTGAATCTTGAAAATTATAATAAATTAATTAGAGCAATTAGAGTGACTGCATGGATATTTAGATTTATTCACAATCTGAAAAATAAAACTGACAAGAAAACAGGACCCTTGATAGCAGAAGAACTCTTTGCCGCAGAATTATATTTGATGAAAGAAGTTCAATATGAAAATTTTTTTGATGAAATTAATAGTTTAAAGTCTGGACAATTGATTTAAAAAAGTCAAACATTTATGAACTAAATTCTTTTCTAAGTGAGGAAAGAGTTTTGTTAGTACTCTCATGTTCCTCCGTGAAAAGTACTGGATAATTAGATCCAGACAAAATGTGAAATGTGTTATAAGAAACTGTGTACTGTGTCAGCGTTATAACTCCCGACCGATGCGACAAGTCATAGCACCACTACCTCCATCTAGAGTTAGAGTGCTAAGAGTATTAATATTATATGATAGTATATTTCTTACTGAAAATGTATTCTTAATTCTATTTAGTATTGTATATTTAATATTTAAGAAATGTATATATTAGAAAATTTTAAGGTTGTAGAAATGTATAAGTGTATTTAAAATTTAATTTATTTCTGAAGAAGAAGGGGAAAAAAAAAAAAAAAAAAAAAAATAGATGGATTTCTTGTAATAATTCTGGTATTTTAGTTGAATTATGATAATCTTGATTTTGAAATGTCATTTGTTTAATATTATCTTGAGTCATAATAAATTCTTGATTTAAATCCTGATGCTTGAACAGGAATGTTATAATAATAATCCTTGATGAATGAAAATTTACTTGATATTCTTGAAACATATGGTAAGTTTTACATGTTCCTGATATTTATCAGGAACATGTAATTTCTTGATTACAAAAACTTGAATTTGTATTGAAATGCATAATGATTCTAGAAAATTATTCTTGAAAATGTCCATGTAACACTGATAATCTTGATTATTCTGAACTACTGTTCAGCCGGGCCCAGCGTGTAAGAAATTTTATGTGGAAATATATTTTAATTGCCAAAGAGGGCATAAATCTTTCATTATGTATACTTCTTGTTCTTGGATCTGGCAGTGCCAGTTGAATGTGTGTTAGACGTGAATAAATTTGGCAGTTTTGAAACCTGATTCGTAATGTTTGTTTACCTTTGTGATGTTATGTGTGATTTGAATTAGTGTTTTTTAAACCAGGATAACTTGAATTCTTGACAGTTAATATATTTTATAAGCATCAAAGCTGCAGATGAGATAGCAAATGTAGCTACAGATGAGGCAAGTAAATTTCCGGAACTTTGACAGAAATAATTGAGTAAAGAGAATATTTCCAAATATTTAGTGCAGCCTATGTTTTCTTAAAAAATCAAGGCCATTGATAGTAGTGATAGTAGTGAGGACATTACTTTCTGTGATTTCTATAATTTATAATATCCTTGATGTTATCAAAAACATTGGGGTAGTAGGGGATGAATTAATTGGAAAAAAAATGAATGCTGTGTGGAAAGGTAAAGGTCTCAATTAAAACTTTTAGAAGCCTGAGCACTTTGGTTCTGTCCAATATATTTACACCAGCTTTTTCTTCATTCCTTCTCTCTCTTTCTGGGTTTTGGTTTAGCTGCACCATGTGTCCCATGATAAAACTGTCAACTGGAAACTTTTTGGTGCCCCATTTCCTGAATATCAAAGAAGCTTTTACAATAAATTTACAGTAGAAGGAATAGCCAAACTTTTAAGCTGATAAACTTGGCACTACCAAAGTGAGAATGATGGATTCAAGCACCGAGCAATTCGAGAATGTTAGTAGTTGCATATCCATTCCAGTATGTGTAGCTACAAGGTCATTTGTGATGACATGAGGATGATGATGAAAATGTGACTAGAGTAGACTGCACTGTCTACTCGAGTTTGTGAGTTGCTGCTCACAACAACATCAAGATAACTTGAACAACCCTATCTACCATCATCCTTCAACACTGAGAGGAGTGGATGTTACCAAGGAACAGCATTTTCCTTCTCAACCATCCACCTCCAGTGTTGACTCTCCTACTGCAGAACCAGATTAATTTGAAAAGTGTTATTTCAGTTTGTTTTATATTCGTTCATATTTTTTTATATATTTATAGTTCATATCCAAGTAAATACTGTTGCAGAATATTTCATTTATAAAACGATACCATGTACCATAAATGTATATAGATATATGTACACACACATAAAAATATAAATTACAATGTTACACTTAAGTAATTTACAAATTTGACTTGCATAAAATTCAAATACTTGGAGTTACTATACAAATCTGCAAGAATGCTGGGTTTTATTACTTCTGCAAAAATAAATTTAGATTTAATAGATTAGAGAGTTGTTCAGACATTTATTCTCATAAATATGTGCATTAAATACTTACTTATTAATTTATGTACAATTTTTCCATTTCAGATAGCAGTATTCCTGAAACTCCTCATTTATATTCAGAGCTGAATTTTATAAATAAGCCTTTGAATGGCAATGTTTCGAATGCAGATGGTGCACATACAAAAAATAATCAGGAGTGGACTGATATCCCACATATAAAATTGTACCAAAGGGATGAAGATAGTAAAAATAATGACTTGAACACACACCTGAGAGAAATCACAATTCCTGAAATTGATCCACTGTCGAGTTTCGATCTTTCAGCCTTTAGCACTGTGTTACTCCCTTCTGAAAACAAGCCTCTAGATCCACCAGCTTTGGCTAAAATGAGATGCATGATACTTGAAGGTGGAGCGAGAATCATTGCCAGCCATCTAACAAAAGTAGATCTTGATGTCTTAAAATTAAGCAAACAGGAAGATTTAGGATTAGGTGTACTTACAGGTTTTGAACTTTTGGTTTTACCTCAAGGTCAACAACTTCGGCTGGATCTTTTAGAAAGGCAAGTATCATTTTACTAGTTCAACCTTGGCAGCTATGCTGTATTTTCTCTTAAAACTTTTTTGTTCTTTTCTCTTAAAACTTTTGTTGAAAAAAATTTTAAGTTCTGCTAAATATCCTTTCTATATAATCCTTAATTTTATTTACTGTTTTTGAGACAACATAAAGCTTTTATTAATAATTACCAGATTAAATTGTATAGTTTCAGCAATGATAAATGATTTGTATATTTACAAAGTTTATTTTTTATTTTATATATATATAGTGATTTTATATAGACTTTTTGTCGCTTTTTTATAAGAAAATAAGACTGTTTCTCTTGATATGTAATGAAAATTAATCCTGTGTATAAAATTTTTATACTAATTACTAGCTATAGAATAGCATTGAGTAAAAATCCCAGTTGTATATAAAGTATATTCATTCTACTGGGGCATAAGTAGAGGGGGTTAATGGACGAAATTTGTCCCTGTGTGCATCATCCAGTGGGTGCCAAATTGATGTTATGAGTTTTTATAATGAAATGTTTTCCAGTCTTTGCAAACAGGAGGGGTGCAAGATCTTCACTTGTCCCTGAGCATTAAAAACCCTAACTACAGCTCTGTCATTCTAAAGTATTTAATTTTATTTAAAATATAATATCTGCAATAGTAATTTTACCCATCCTGTGAATAAAAACTACTGTAAAAGGACATATGGGTAAGGATCAGATAGTTTAAAAGAACTGCAACTGCATAATGAATATTTAAATACAGTATTGGAATGAAAGTTAAATAAAAAAATGTGATTCATGATGGAAAATACCAGTCATTCATTCAATAAAATCGACTCAAAAATTAAAAAAAATTGATTAAATAAAACTAAAAATTGAATAATTATTTATTAAATTATTGAAAATATAGTTATTTTTCTACCATTTAAATATTCTTAATGCTTTTGGTAATTGTCCTCCAAAGCGGCCTTAGTAAGAATGTAGATTTAGCATGTTTCTGCATTGGTGAGAAATAAACGATTACCAGTCTATGTTTGTGCAAGAAAGAAACAGTTAATAATCTATCTGGTTTTTCGTAATTATGGTGAGGCAACATAGTGGTGTTTCATTGTAAAATACTCATTATTTACAATCTTCCTTCACCAACAACAGCAAAACAGAATCTATAGTTGATATCTAATGCATTATTAACTATAGATTCTTTTTATTAATACCAGTTGCTAAGCTATAGCTACCAAAAAGTGTGCAAAAATTAATTTTTAGTATTATTATTTTTTTTTTTTTGACAAAATGCTAACAAAATTGCATGAAATTAAATAATAAATTGAATTTTCTGGTATGTTTAATAATAAATAGAATTTTCTGATATGTTTATGTATGTTATTATTTTAAATAAATTTCTTATATAATGGTATGAAATATAATTAATGTACACATTAAAAAAGCTTTATTGAATTATGTTATTTTGAATAAATTGTTGACAAAATTGTATAAAATTTTATAATAAATACAAATTTATATTAAATTCTTTTTGTATGTATAGATTAAATAACTTAGGATATTGAATAAATTATTGTAGTCAGTTTCATTTTTCATAACTCATGAATGAGCTGGTTGCATGGGCATTTTCATGTTTTTCCTCATGTATAACATGGATATGAGCCAGTTTCCCTTGGAAAGCCCTCCACAAAGGCATCTCTTCTGTTGTGCAGATAGTCCTCATATGCTTTGCTGTAGCCAAATAAAACAGAAAACAAGCATGCTGATAACATTTGAATGCAAACTGCACTTCCTTAAACCCGAATTGTGCCAATGCCATTTTCTGCCATCAAGACTGTTACTGAAGACAAGTGCACTTTATTTTACTATGAGCAAAGATCTGATGCTTAAGATATTTTCAGAAAATTAGCAAAGATATGTTATTAAATGTATTTTTAGGAAATGGGATAAAACTTTACTTCAGATTGTTTTAGCTTTTAAATTCAAATACTAATATAGAAAAGTATGAAATAAAGAGGCTTTGTTTATTTCTGTATTTATTTATGCAAATTAAAGTTTAAAGCATTTAAAGTTCCTTCTGCAGTTTATTTATTTTTCATGTTTCATTTCCATGACATATCTTATGAAGTTAATGCTAAGTCAGCTTTTTATAATTATATTTTCTAAACTAGATAACTATTTCTTTCATACAGAACTGAATGCCTGAAATATTTTGTGGCAATTACCATACTAACATGTGGTGATGAAGATGTTAGAGCTCAGGTTTTGAATAAGTGGATACAAATTGCAATAGAAACTAAAACTGCACTTGGGAATCTGTATGGTTTTACTGGAATTATGCAGGGTTTAGCTTTAGAACAGGTAGATATATAAAAATACTTTTCTTATTCATAAATGCGGTACTTTAATTGCATTTGCATGCGAAAAAATATTCATTGCATTATGGTGTCTAATTATTATATATTCCAAAATGAATAACATTGCTTATAGAATGAATAAATAATATGAAATTTTCCTTTTGTTATAAAGAATTGTTTCTGTATCTCTCTTTTTATTGTCACATTTATCATGATGCCATTAAACAAAAAGAAAGAAGGCAAAAGAAACAGAAATCTATGAAACTTGGTTTAAATGTTGAATAACATTATAGTAATTAATATAATTATTATTAATATGAGAATAACTAGCTTTTGCTTGTAACTTTATTTCTTAGATATTTGGAAATTAATTGATGTAAATAAGTAAAAAAATATCTTTTTTCTCTTTCCTTTTTTTATTCCTCTGCAGTTTGTTTATAAGGATTACCTCATTATTTTCTCAATCTAATTCCTCATATTTACTTCACTGGAGATCTTAGCATATGTTGCATTACATTTGCAAAAATACTACATGGAATCTGTAACTCCATACAGCATTAATATAATAAATAAATAAAGATTAAAAGAAAGTGTTCAATTAAATATTTTTTTTAACAATGATTCATAAGTTCTCACTGAAATGTATAAAGTAAGGTTACTGGAGACTATTTACATGAAAAATTTTAGTAAACATATACAAAATTTAAATTTTAATGCAGGCTAAGAAAGCTCTGGTTAACCCTTTCGCTGTCCTCTCCTATCCGCGAAATTTCCTCCCAAGCGGCCATCTGTTTTTCGTAGCGTGCAATGTTGTTTTCTATGTACATCATAACTTTCCATACATGACTTTCGTAGTGGATGAATGTCAATGAATATTAAGTAAAATTATAAGGAAATAAAGCATAATGGAAAAATAATAATATCTCTGCTTATTTGTAACAGCAGGATAATTTGATGACATCTGATCCAGGCAGTCCATTCCTCCCATTTTGTTGTTGTAATTTTTTACAGTTCTTTTTCGTGTTCCAACATCAATCATCGAGTTATTATGGACTGTACTCATCAAACGTATATCCTTCTTATCTTTCCAAATTCACAACCTCATTTTTTTCTCTTTTTCTGCTGAGTAGGCATTGAAGCCATCTTTCACTGTCTTGTATCTTATGTAAAATGGCACGAATATTCATAAAACCAGAGCAAATTCAATTAGAAATAGAATGCCTGATTAGTGCTGCCCTCTAGGAGATATTAGAACAAACAAAAACTCAAACAAGTAAACATTTAGAAAGCGTTTTAAACGTTTAAAAGGTAGAAGAACGCTTGTACGTTATGGCCACCCTGCGGAAGTTTCACTGGAACGCGCTAGATGCGTTACGGACGATGAAGAGGTTAATAAATTGTTCATTATTTTGCCAGTTCCCCCATTAGGAAAGGGGAGTTTGTCCCATGAAGCGATTAATAAATTGTTCATTATTCTGTCAGTCCCCCCATTAGGAAAGGGGAGTTTGTTCCATAGAGAAAATTCTATAACTTAAAAAAAGTTTCACAAGAAGGAAAGAAGGATAAAAGCATGAATTTCAGTAATTGTTTAAAATTGAATTTCATTAATATAAAATTTCAAATTCCAGACCTTGTACAAAAAGACAGTTTATAACTGACAATCTTGTACGATTACATTTATGAATAAATAAATTCTTCAAAAATTTGTATTAAAAACTGGGACTTAGACAATGTATGCAAGCAGTTCCTCAAAACCTTAAGTTAATGATATTTCGAGTAACTGATGTTAATTTTTATTTAAAAGTTTTGTGATCAAGTTTGTTGCAATGTGAAAGCTTATTTCATTTAATTCATCTCTTTAACTGAGTAGATCTACAGCCAGTTGAGTTGATCAAGATGTATTTAGTTATACAATAATTTTGAAGTGCTGTTAGATATCCTTTTGTGTTGTGCTACTCCTCTTTAAAACCTGTTTGTATTAGTAAATTGTTAGTACCAGTTGATATTAGTAAATTGTTAGTACAAGTTGATCATTCTATTTTACATGATGACTTGTAGAACATATATTAATTGCTTGGAATTTCATTTAGATCTCTAGGTTACGGTCAACATGGTTAAAATTAAGACAAACCTGCACAGAAAATGCTTTTACATATGAAACAAAACTTCGACCTACGATAAAAAATATGCAAGAATGCTCCAATCCACAAGCTCCTAATACTTGCATTCCATATCTATTATCATTGATTCTTATATTGCAACAACATTTGGATATTTTATCAGGAAAAGATTTTTCCCAAGAGAATGAAGAAAAGCCCTATATTTCACCTCTAGAAAGCTTATCATCTTCAAACAAAGAAAAAGGTAAGTTTATACTTAAAATTTATGTTTCTTATTTAATATAAGTCTTGACCAACATTATATGAAACCTGTATGTGTTTTTACTGTAAATGTCAATTTTGCTGAATATCTCTTATATGATAATGTTCATTGTATTACATTATTAAAAACATGTATTTTTGTAATATTTATCAATCAAGTTAAAAAAATATAGTTATATTTTTGCCAATGAAAAAATTCTATAAATTTTATGAAGTGGTGTCCCCTTTTGTGTTATAACTCTCTCTTTTAACTATTACTCTATTAATAAGTATAACTATTACTCTATTCTTAAGTATTATATATAAAAATTTAACTATTACTCTATTCTTAAGTATTATATTACTTTGTAATACTGTTATGATTCAAAATAATCTTGCATATATTTTTCTCTAATTGTGTATACTACAGTTATTGTAACTAGTTAAGATTGGATTTAAACTGTAAAAGGAAGAAAAAAAAAATTGAAACACTTATACGAGGGCCATCCAGGAAGTAGATTACGTTTCCGTCTGTGTCCGCTAGGGGCGGGGCTAGCGCGGCCATCTTGGGGTCAGAGCGTTGCGCAGCTCAGTCTGCATCTAGCCGTGCTAGTGAGAGGTTCGTGCTGTGCTCCGTTCAGATACTGTGACGGTTTGAAATGTCTGCGTTAATTGAAAATCCCGCGAGCTGCGAAGTGCGCTCAGTAATAAGGTTTCTGACTGCAAAAAACTGTAAACCGATAGAAATCTATCGGCAGCTTCGTGAAGTGTATGGGGACACATTTATCACTGAAGGTGGAGTGCGTCAGTGGGTCATAAGATTTCAAAATGGGCCGAACCAATGTTCACGACGAAGATCGAAGTGGGAGACCCAGCATAGTGACCGCCGAACTTCTCGAAAAAGTCGATGCTAAAGTCCGTGAAAATCGAAATTTCACAATAACGGAACTTTCTTTGAGTTTTCCACAAATTTCGCGAAGTTTGTTGCACGAAATCATCAGCGAAAAGCTTGGTTACCACAAGTTTTGTGCAAGATGGATTCCAAAAATCTTGACAGAGGACCACAAAAATCAGCGAATGGCTGCAGCGTTGAACTTTTTGGACGCTTACCATAAGGATGGTGACTCTTTACTCGATCGCATCGTTACTGGTGACGAAACATGGGTGAAACATGTGAACTGTGAAACGAAATTGCAATCAATGCAGTAAGTTCTCCCCAAAAACCCAAGAAATGCATGCAAACAATGTCGGCAAGGAAGATGATGGCGACTGTTTTTTGGGACAGAAAAGGTGTAATTTTGGTGGACTTCCTGGAAAGAGGCACTACAATAAACTCTCAAAGGTATTGCCAAACTCTCCAAAAACTCAGAAGAGCAATTCAAAACAAGCGCAGAGGAATGTTGAGGTCTAAGATCTTGTTGATTCACGACAACGCCCGACCCCACACGGCAAATGTCACTCGTAAAGTTCTTGAATCTTTTAAGTGGGAGTTGTTTCCTCATCCGCCATACAGTCCCGACCTGGCACCGAGCGACTTCCACCTATTCCCAGCAATGAAGAAGTGGCTGGCTATGCAGCGTTTTGATGACGACGCACAGCTGCAAGAAGAGGTAACGAAGTGGTTGAAGACGCAGGCGGCCGAATTTTTCGACGAAGGAATTTCCAAGCTCGTACATCGCTACGATAAATGCCTTAATTTGTATGGTGACTATGTAGAAAAGTAGTATTTGAGTGTGGCTTTCATCTGTATATAATAAAATTTGTTTCCTATACTTTGTTTATTTTTTTATTCCAAAACGTAATCTACTTTCTGGATAGCCCTCGTAGTTCGGTATTAACTGATAGTAATTATGTAGCATGTTCATAACATCTAATTAGAAACTATAGTACTTATTACTGGACTCAACCTCATGATTCACAGTGTTCATTATCATAACATACTAATTAAGGGGGAATATACAAAAAAAAAAAAAAAAAAAAAAAAAAAAAAAAGATCAAATTTGCTACCTAAATGAGGGACAAACTACGCTAATAAGCACCAAAAAATTACCTAAATAAATGTTAAAATTAATTTTTAAAAACCCGTTTACCAAATTAAAATTGTTTTAGGAATGGTTTATGTTGAAGGAGTACAAAGTGCTAAATCTCCTCACCAGATATTAATTGAGTGTACATATATTTGAAAGGTCCTAGGATAACTCTAAGGAATATATAGCATAGCATAATTGCAGCAATTTTGGTGGTTTCAACAGTCTGCTGTTTTGATACATAACTTAATTTGTTTTAGAAATCATTGAATTAGTATGGAGAAATCAATTTCCAGTATTACTGTTCTTTGAATCTTTTCCTTAACAGGCTTGTTTTGAATTTTAGGAAAAGAATTCTAAGGTTAGACTGGCTGGATCTGGTAAGGCAGGAGGTTGCATAATCATTGTTATTTAGTATGTAAGCCTGAGTAGAAAGAACCATTTCACTTATGATTTTCATAGTTTCTTGAAAGGACTTGTTGTCCTGTAGGTATACATTCATGATAAATGATCTGACAAAGGGAATACACTTTTATTATTCTTGTGAAGGATTGTACTTAGTAGATTATGATTCATTGAAGGTGCAGAGGAACTTAATATGCCATGCCCCATTTTCATTAAGCTTTGCATGGCAATCATTTCTTTCTTTTTATTCTATTTTTTATAAGTTAAAAAAGTCTGGGATGAACTTAGCTTATACTTGTGAAGAACATCATGAAGAATGCTGTGAAATATTGTTTTGCTAAAATTAGTTCCAGTGCTTTCATCCAACATGTTGACTGGTAACTAAATAAGAGTTCATGAAGAAACTGCGTATTTTTTCAGTGTTGCTTGTGGAACAGCTGTGCACTTTTTTATTGTCCTTCAACTATCAGACATTGGGGGGGGGGAAGATACTGATCAGGTAATAAGCAGTTTACTTATAAAAAATTTGCTGTGTCCTGTATAACAAGTACACTCACTGATCAAAAACAAAGCTTCAACAACATGCCAAATATCATGGCTCGAGAATTTAATGCTTGAAATATCATGGGTTGAGATTTCTAGTCTTCGTTTGAAATATTGTCACTCATTATCCTGTGCTAAGCTGCTGAATGTTCGGTACTATTCCGTTAGAGCGGTGTCAGTTAAAAATGAAGGAAAAAAATTAGAAGAAAACGATGCTCCAGCAACACGCCAAATATCGTGGCTTGAGAATTTAATACTTGAAATATCATGGGTCGAGATTCCTAGTTTTCATGTGAAATATTTTCACTCATTATTTTGAGTATTTTTTTAAAATTTATGTTTGAAATATCGTGGCTCGAGATTTCTAGTTCTCGTTTGAAATATCATCACTTTTTTTTTTGGCCATATTTGACCATTTTTTAATGCGATGAATTACACAATTACCTGATGACAAAGAGGCTGCCATAAGATTCTTTCACAACAAAGAAATAATTCATGGCAATAGACTTAGTTCTCAAAAGCATCCGATTAAGTTGACTTTTGACTCGAACAATACGGCGCTGTTACATATATTTGTGATGTGGGAAAAAAAAAAAAAGAAAAGATTGAAAGCCAAAACATGGTCTGAAAGCTCCCATCTTTCTTTCCTCAGTGCTGTTATTTTTATCTATCTGAGGTGTCAAGAATTGACATCGATTGGATTTTGCCAACTTCAGTCAGAAATCAGCCATAGTATGACGATAAATTGGAATAACTACTTTAAAGGTCTTTTTAAAAAAGAAAAACAACTTTGGACGTGTTCTTTCGGAACAATGGGTATTCGAGGGTTCATGCCGGGAAAGCAAAGAAAAATTTTTTTTCGCCATTCTTGATCATTGTGCTACAACTTTGATGACACAATCATTCAGGAAAACATTGCGGATGGCAGCATTATATTTGTATGCTGATGGAAAGGATACAAGAAAGAGGAATTAAGAAATGCTGGGTATGAACATTTCACTGTGAATCGCAGCTATAATTTTGCAGACCCCAAAACTGGATGCCATACCCAAACTGCAGAGCGATTGTGGAGCAGTGTTAAATGGAGAAATAAACAGCAGGCCACTGCTTGCCACCTATTTGATGGAATTTATGTGGCGTCGGTTATATTTAAACACTGGAATTTTTTCTGCAATATTAAATGATATTTATAATTTCATTCCACTTGTTTAGATTGAATAAACTTTGTTTTGTTATTTTTTATTTATGTGTAGAATATTATAGATTAAAAATAAAATTTACTTTCTTTAAGAATTAAGAAATTTAAAAAAATACTTCTTATGGAACTGATTGTTTCTAGTTTTTTGAACTGTATTATTATTTAATAATTTTATATTTGGCAAAAAGTGGGGGCAGAAAAAGGGGCACATTTTTAACTAACGTCGCTGTAACAAAATAGTACTGAATTTTCTCAAGCCTACTTTGCCAAAAATGCCTGTTGGAAGCATATGTGAAAATGAAATGCTGATACATAAAGTGTCAGAGGGCAAGGATAAGTTTTAAATGACTCAAGTACCTCATGTTAAATGTTTTTCCTTAGAAAGAAACTGTCCCACTAGCTGGTTCATGTCACATGACCAAGAAATCGAAAGTTCCAACATTCTACATATCTAAAGAACTGTGTAAATAGTGTATATGTGAATTAGAGACTGTCAAGGCCGGAGTGCTTAATTCACTCTCTAAGAACTTAGCTTTGAACATTTGACTTTGCCAAAATAACAGCGCCACCTCTAGCTGTAAGGTGCAATTGCACCATAATTTAAAAAATTACCGTGATTGGCCTTAGGGCAATAAACGAAATCAACTAGTAAAAACTCACAGTAGTTGAAGATAGTAGCAAAGTGATGATCCATGGATAAATTTGACTGGAGAAAACTGTATAATTCAAAGAAGGCTCTAGTACCTGTTTATTACTATTAGGTTGCTTCTTGCCGTGCTATAAGATAAAGATATGATCAGGTATAAGAAGCATTTAGGTTTCACATGTTATTCTGTGCCATGTGTGTCCAAAAATATTGCAGCTGGGCCTTTAGATCTCACATATTCATGTGCTGTGGAAGCTGATTCCACAAGTGCTTAACTGATAAATTTTGGGACAATAAAGTGAAGAAAGTATAGCAACCTGCTGCAAGCATTCCCAAGAAACATTTGCTTATGTCAACAAGCATTATTTTGCTCAAAAATGCCTGTTGGAAGCTCTTTTAACGTCTGATTGCAGAATGTCCTGCACATACCAAGGTCCTACACATATTCATTTGCGGTTTTGCAGCTGAAGATGGTGGTTCGGTAAAACCATCGAAACTAGTCCTGTGAAAATTTTGTAAATATAACGCTGATGTTTGTTGTTTGACTTCTGAATTAGTATTTATTCGGCGTGTTATTGTGTCTTAACATACCAAGGTATTGAGAATTTTCATATTATTAATAGGAGAGATCGACTATCATATCATTTCGCTCCTCAGATCATAACACCAATAGAATGAATTCATAGAAAAGGCAAGCTAGAAGCTCTCATGCTTGAGCATGATTATGACAGGCTTCCATACATTGCTAAAACTATATGACTTCAGTCTGTAACATTCCAAGTCCTCATTCATGATACCATTGCAAATGTGGCTGATTTTCAATGTCAAAATACATATGAGCATTGTGACATCAAATATTTTTCTCCTAAGAGTCTGGAAATGGTTTGGCCAGAGATTTAAAGAAGATGATGCTGCCTGCCTGTCTATATAGTGACTAGGAAACTTTTGGCACTGTTTGTGCTTACCAATAAACCAAAATCAGAAACTGATGCAACCTATGAAAAGACTCTTGGAGGTTATTTTTATGTATTGTGTTTTTATTCATTTGTTGAGACTACTGTCTACTAGACATGCCTCTAAGTCTGTTAGGAGGTGCTAAATTTGATACACAACTACCAAATTTAGCACCTCCTAACAGAAAATAACAGATCCAAAAGGCCTAAATGGTAGATAATTTTTAAAGTAGCCATCTTTCTCTCTCTCTCTCTTTTTTTTTTTTCCAAGTCAGTGATAAATCCTTTTCAGAGTTTGTTTCTTTAACAAAATATTTTTGACTTAGAGGCATGTCTAGTAGACAGTAGTCTCAACAAATGAATAATAACACAATGCATAAAAATAACCTCCAAGAGTCTTTTCATAAGTTGCATAATCATAAATACAACTGTAATCATTTATGTATCTGCGTGAAACACAGCTGCATGCCAAGCTTTCCAACAATCTAACATTTGCAACTAGGTGCACTATATCTTATCAACAATGTAGTTATTTTATAATGTCAAATTAATTGCACTGTAATTAGACTATTCTCTCTAGATATAGATATAAGAGATGTTATATTAAAACATTATATTTACTTTTAAATTTTATGTACATCATATAACAAATTGAAATAATTTTATTCTACATTTGTCTTATATAGCCAAAGTACTTACTTTAGGACTGCCATGGGAAAAAACTGCTGCTGATTATGGACTTCAGCTCCTATTAACTCACCTAGAGATTGGACGATCTATAACTCAGCAATGGCCTATGTATAAAAGAAACAGTGAGATTGTTCTAGAAAATGTAAAATATGATGATTTGATGCTTGATATGTTTAGGACAGAATTTCACATGAAGTTTTTATGGGGTAGTAAAGGTTGCCATGTTGCAGGCAAAGAGAGATACTCAAAATTTCTTCAAGTCTTAAATGTCATGTCTGAGCGATGTGAGCCTGATTAATATCATTCCTAATGTTTATGTATTTCAATACTCAGGGCTTGTAACTTAGTAAATAATACAGGTGCGTATTGATTTATTTGTATTCAGTAACTTGTCATTCAAGAAAAAATATTCTTGTCAGTATAATCAGAATTCTCTTTACGAAAAGGTGAGAAAGTAAATATATTTTTTTTTGCAGAAATTAAAATATTAATAAATGAAAAATATACTAAAAATTTATTTGGCTTAGAAGCAAATAAGGTAGTCTAGATAAGTTGAGGTAATTGATTATGGCAAAGCACTCAAGGATTATCTATCTTAGGGAATTAAAGAGAAGAGGTGCTTAAATGGAAGACTTTCTAAGAGAAGCTAGCTTTTATTCATGTTATATGTAGGAGAAAATCACAAAAATGCCCATGCAATCAGTCTTTTTGCTGCATTGGGCTTCCTTCATTTGGATTTTACTGGGTGTGGAAAGATGATTTTTAACACCAGGGCATTATTTAAAAAAAAAAAAAAAAAAAAAAAAAAACTTCTTATCTCTTTAAATTCTGAAATAGACTACAGACTCTGAAAAAATCCAATCTTAATAAATAACAATTAGTCAAGCAACAAATAAGCTGAACATTTATTATTTTTTATATGACTTTTTCGAGACTACAGACAAATCAATGGGTACCTGTATAGATATTTCTGCACTTCAAATTTTTTGTACAATGTAACATACAAAATTACATAGGCTAGCAAATGTGTAACTGCCACACTGTTTAATGCAATATTGTAATATTTCCTGTTATATAAAAGTGAGCAAATTGCTTTACTGCATTCTCTGAACTTATTCAACTGTATGAAACTTCAGTTACCATACAACTGTCTGTTTATGTGCATTCCTTTACAAAATGTACATAAAAAGAGTAGTTGTATGATGAATGAAGTTTTATTTAAATATATATATAATATATATATATTTTGTATTTTATTTAGAGTGTTATGGGGAAGATTAACACACAGTTAAAAATTTCAAATTTCATGTTGCTGAGCTTTATCTAGCTACGAAACCGATTTTTTGTATATAATGTAAATGTGATTCTTAAATTATCTATAGTACTATAAAACTCATTTCTTGTGGATTTGAAAATAAAAAGTTAAAATAATTTCTAGTATAATAATAAAAATATTAAATAATTTCCATAAAAATTTTCTGTAAAATGATTCAGAAATTTCTTATTAACTCTTTGTATTTAATATTTGGAATATTTTATAACTTAATATATATCAGTTTCCAAAAGAAAAATTACTTCTAAATTCCAAAGATTAGGTAATTTGCAATTTGGAATTACATAAAGAAATTGGTTCTCATGTATTGCTCTACCTTTATAGTAATTTGAGAGATTGTAAGCATAATGCTGGGTTTTATAAAAGGACAAGCTTGTATTTGTGCAGATTTCAGAAAAAACAAAATTTCATTCATCTGTTTGAATATGAAAGTATGGTAATCTTCATGAATTGGCTTGTTTTTGAAACTTAAAAAATAAGGTGCAAATAAATCATCCAACATTTCCCTCTGTAATCTCATCAAATGAGGTTCATACTATTTGGATTATATTTATCATATATAATCTTATCAAGGATATAGCTAAAACATCTATATTGTTTTTACATCTGGCTCAAATAAATATTGTAAACTGTTTTAAATTCGATTAAATAGGGAGAGGGAAAAATACTTCTTATACTTACACCAATCTGATACAGGTAACTTTTTGCTTTAAGTATCGATTGAATCTTAAGCATATTCAGGTAGTGCATATATGTATATATTACATGAGGAAATCATTTATTGAATCTTTTATATTGAGTTAAATGATTGTTAATACTAAATTTACTTTCTTAAACTATACAGAATTTATTATAATTTAGCTGATAACCCTAATTAGAGCATAAAATTTATGGCTTTTAATATATTTTTGATTGATATCTAGGGGATGATTAAAAAATTTTAAATGCTGTATTGCATAAAAAGTGTGTGGATCTTTTCATTTTATTATATAGTAATGACCAGTGTCCTTTTGGAATATTTTCAGAAAGCCGAAGATATATATATATTTGAAAAAAAAAACTTATATTAAATTATTAATTTTTGCTTAAGTTTTTTTTTTTTTACTTAAAGATGTAATCTTTCTGTTTAGTAATTCTAGCAGTATGAGCATATGCAATAACAGTATACTTTCTTCTCAAGATTATGAAGACATTTTAATTTGTGTTTGCAAAGAAATTACAAGAACTAAATAAATGTGCACGGATTAAATTTCCCAAAGCCAAGGAAAGAATAATTACACATTCATCTACTGCGGACTGCAACCATATGACTTACATTCTCGATTTTTGAGTGCAAAGAACATCCAATTAATCCCAGATTCAATCATGACTTCCATATTGCCTGAGCACACTCTTCGTAGTACACAACACAATTTGAAACTTCTTAATTATCCCATAAAAGATGTATTTTTATTTATGACAGAATACAGTACAGATCTAAATCCCTTTACTCCCCTCTCATTCCTAGCCTTTCATTTTGCATTCATTCAAGGAAATAATTTTATAATGTTATGCTAGTGCAACTAAGATAATTTTTACCATTCTTCTTTACTACTTAATACATCTACACTTCTAAAAAGCATACTGTATAAATGTATTATGACCAATTAAAAAGCACGTTATGGCAGAATAACCTTTAGTGACTTGTGGAAGTAATTTGAACACTTTCCTATGTACATTTTTGTATGTGATTTTTTTCTAGTCAATGTATATATATATATGTATATGTAATACAAGCTTTATGTGGATGTACGTATATATTGTCTTTAACATTTTGTAAATAGAAAGAATTGCATACTGCTTATATAGCTTAAGAAATTTGTTACTCTCAACATTTTAATAATTAAAGAAATAACTGAAGTGATTCTGTAGTGATAATTAACAAAATTTATATTAAATACAGGAAGAGAAATCTTTCAGATTTATTATTTGCTTGAAAGAGGGAGAAAATTCTTAAGTAAATTTTTTCCCCTAAAACTAGAATGTTATGAAAGGGGAATTATCGGTTTAGTCTCTTTTTGAATACTTAAACATTGAGAAATTCAATTGAGAATTAACAAATCTCTAATATTAACCATCTGAGTGGCTTGACTGCTTTTATTAAATTGTAAGATTTTTTACCACTTCATTTTTATATATTAGCTTATAATTTAAAATATTTTGTTTTTTTACTTCCTTTAAGAGTAAATATGATCTTTAGTAATTATACAAATTTAGCTAATAAATGCTGCTATTTAAATACAGATATACATGAACAGGTACAAAAGGCTGTGCCACTCAGAAGGTTTAAATTATGTTCTTTAAAAATATGCTTGCAGATGAGAGCAGAAACTGAATATACGATGATTTTGTGCTTTCAAGTAATTTATAATTGAATGTAATGAATGACATTTGACAGCATATGACAAAATAAAAAAAAACTAAGAATTTCATTGTTCCTGCTTTATTTTCTTTTCATTCCTTTTCCTTTCTTCCACTTTCTGTTTTGCCTAAGAAAAGAGAAACTATCAAGTATTAAGAAAATAGATGCTATGAAAAACATGTACAGTACAAAGTCTGTAATCTGGACATCCATTATACAGGATAATCTATAATCCGCACCTCAAAGCCACAAACTTTATGCATGCGCGTAAAGAATGCGCAAACATTACGCATGCTCTGAAAGAAATGTTTAATAATGTAAACAAATAAATATTAAGCTTTTTTTCTTTGTAAAATTTGATACCCTTTAGATCATAATTGCTCTTTATTTCATAAATTACGGTTTTATATTTTTAATTGCATAATTTCTGCATGCCCTCTTACCAGATTAAAATTGATGATCTATAATCCGGAATCGCCGAAGTCCCGACGAGTCTGGATTACGGACTTTGTACTGTATTTGCTTTGTTTTTCAAATAATGAATGCACAAGAAATACTGGTATTTTCTCATAACACTGGTCATCTCAAATCTGGACTGATAAATAAATCAAAAAAGTGATACAGAATTGAAAATTTTTCCAAGGTGTCAGGTGACGTTACACAGTTTCCTTACTTGAGACTAAATTATTTACAAAGCTCCAAAAGATTGATGATCAATCCCAAAAAATTGATTTGTGTTTAAAAGATTTCATTATGCCAAAAGGCTTCAAATCAATGTGCATGATCAATTTGAAAAGCCAGACATGCTTTAAATTAAGACAGCTGGGTATAATCATTTCATGCACATTAATCCTTTATGAGCAAATTTAAACTTAAATTTCACATTATGAGTGGGAAAATAATGAAAGACTTTTGCCATCATATCTCTGAAAAATACCTATAGTTAGCAACAGAACATTTCAAAAAAATGATGTAGATATTTTCATAGAAGACTTGAAACTAATTAACTGATTACCCGATATTTAATATAGATCTGTAGAGACATTAGGTATTTTTTTATATTTAATATAGATCTGTAGAGACATTAGGTATTTTTTTGAAGCATGCAAGCTGAAAAATATGCAGTGCCTTTGCCGGGAATCAAACCACAAACCTCTGGAATACGCGTCCAGCTTGCAGACTACCACACCACGAAGGCATGCCAAGAAGGCAGGAGAAATACCTCATATACTACCCCTTTTAAAGGGTGACTGGAGTTGTTAGGGAATTCAATCGCCAAATCCTAGGTGAGGATAATCATCATCCAACACCCTTTTAGTTCGGGTGCCACTGTAGAGACATTAGTTTTTTTTTTTTTTTTTTAAGCAGGCAGCAAGATGAAAAATATGCAGTGTCTTCACCAGAAATAGAACTACAGACCTCCACACTACGAAGGCATGCCAAAAAGGTGGGAGAAATACCTTATAGATCAATTTACCTTTTAACATGGAAACTCACTAGGATGAATATTTGATTATTTATATTTGGATCAAAACAAACTGAAAGTTCTCAACATACTCATACAAAGATTATGCTCACCATCAATAAAAACGGCAAATTACTGTCTCATTTATTTAGAGCATTTCTTGGCTTCTACTCTTATAAAAATCATGATCTGATTGAAACTCATCTCTTAGGGGATGGGAGAACATTTCCTCTAAAACTATAGCTCTAATTCGCTTATAAGTAGGAAAATTCACTTCCTTGACAAATTAGATTTTGAAAAATTTTTTATTTTGAAAATTTTCAAGTTTTTTTTTCAAGAAATTCAACACAATCAAGCTGAAAGAGAAGTTTCACTATCATGGTGAATCACTCCTAATTTTCTTTGGAAGATACTTACTGAATCAGTTAGCTGTAGTTGTTTTCTTCTGTCTAACTTGATAAATTTGATCAGTTCTTACACTTCTGAAAAAAAAAACACTTTTTTTCATTGCTTGTTGTCTTTCACCACTGCTGATTTGAGGTCATCTTCAAAGATTCATAATTTACCTTCTTAAAATGTTACAGCATCAAAACATGGAACCTTTTGTCACTAGTTATGATTTTAGAAATAATGCCATGTCCACATCATTAAGTAAACTTGGGGTTACTTTGCCTGCCTCCAGTTATTGATGTCTTGTTAATTAATTTATGGGGAACCCAATGACAAACCAAACTAATTCTTTCACATGCATGTTCTACATGAATAATTTTATGTATAGCTGCAGATCCAATGTTAAACTTCTTCTGTCTCATTTTGTTGATATGGAGAGAATCATTTTTCATACGGCCAACATATTTTCTGGGACTTATTGCTGACAAAGGTCTTAGTACATGTTTTTCAGAGAATTTCAACCTCTATGAAATTCTGTAAACCATTTCCATACAGTGACATGAGATGGAGCTTCATTCCCATGTAACTGTAGACATAAAAGACATTCTTGATTTAGTCCCACTTTAAAATCATAGAGAATCATACCACAATAATGCTCTCATGACAGTTCCATTTTCCTTCTTTCAAACATTATTCTACTGCAGATAAATCGCAATTACTGCCGTAAAGTATTGTCTACAAACACACGAGTAAATTTACACATCTAACAAATAATTTTCTTTTAGTGCATATTGTCCGTACATCTAAAAAGTTTCAGAAATTTAGGTAAATAGAACAACTTTCATGCAGTTTTTGAATAGAACAATACCTTTAAATTACAGGCTATTACATATTCCTTACAGTGCATAACCATGTGGAAGTATTTTGGATTATGTGTGCTCATTTACAATGGTACCCCCTGCATCAATTAAAAAATTCTATTGAATTTATGTTTTGCAAACCGATTACAGTTATACAGAGATGAGAACTTTTAATTCAAGATGCTTTACAGTCATTATAAAACATGCTATTTCTTTGATCTCTCTCCTTTTTTTTTTTTAATAATGCATCTTATTTGAACTGAAACATGAGACATCTTTCTACAACAGTATATATTTTCAGAATTTCTAGCATTCTGATTTCATTTTTCAGAGATTTAACTTTACATTTTGTGCACTGATAGCCAGATTTTTTTTTTAACCTATTCATCTATTTTATATTTTGAAGCTTGAATTGATAGGCGACAGGTTGCCTAATAGTTCTGCATCGCTAAATGTAGTCATAAAAATTCGTGGCAAACTGAATTTCTGTAAAATACATTCATGTCCAAAATTATATCACACATTTCTCATAAACTAGGAATGATAATATTATGAATTTGTGTGGAATGAAACATAACACCATAACACATAAATAAAAAGAAAAAAACATGAATATTACATATTATATAAAACTATGGCATGAAACAATGAAAATAGTTATAATATTTTACAAGGAGAGTTCATTAAATAAATACGAATTCAGAAACATGTTAAGGCTTTTGAATTTAATATGAAATGCAAGTTCACTTGACTTGTATACACATACTAAAACCTGTTTTCATGCATGCAATAATGTTTTATCCATAGTTTGAGGAATTAAGTTCCAAATCCTCAAGGAATGCCATTTGTAGAGCACTGGAGGATGTCTCCGTGCAGCTGCTTTTTCACGGTAGCCCCGTAAGTTCTCTATTTGATTAAGATCAGGAAATTCTGCTGACCGCAATATTCGCTAATTGTCTTTACTTTAAAGAATTTCTCACCAAGGTTTGCTTCATCTAGACGAGCATTATCATAAAGAAATAAAAAATCAGATCCATATGCGTCTCTGAAAAGGCTTACATAAGGTTTTAAGATTTCATCTCACTATCTCTGGTTTGTCACAGATCTGATGAAAACATGTATGCCCATCAACCATTATTCCACCTTGTACTATAACACCTGCATTACCAAAAGAGTCACATTCCATAATGCTCGAAGGAACATTTCACATTCCTGACTCCCTTCTTATGTAAACACATTTAGAATCAGATGTTAAAATAAACAACTCATGAGTAATGCATACATGGAAATATGTTCACTCTAATGCTGATGTATCCTTTTTTTGTTTTGAAAATACTGAAACAGGTACTGTATTATCTGGCATAATATGTGTACCCTTTACTTCATGAATAAACCTGAAAGATGTATGTCATCATCTTTTGAAGTCATTCATTTTAGAGTTTTTCCCAGGTTTTTGAATAATGGTACACTGAATTTACAAAAGGGGAACAATATATCTGTGGGGGAAATGCTTGATGGAATAAACGTTCTGCAAAATGGGTAGGTTGTACTAAATGCAAATACGCACAAGAATGTCTAGCTAGGGTTTTGAGATACCTTGGGCATAATTTGAGGTAAGAGGGCACTTCTGACCCAAATAAATTAACAGAATTAGGAGTCAGATATTTTCTTTTTATTTAATAAGCCGTGATTTTGAAATGAATATCGAAGGTGTATGTAAATCACGTTTGCTTTAGTTGAAATACAGTTGATCTAGTATTCCGTTTAGTAGCAAATATGGCTCCTGCCAAACAAAATAAACACAGTTCTGGTTTTAAATGTAAAATCATTCGGTACTGAAATGGACTATCCTAGAACAAAGTATTGAGAACTGGGCCCTACAAAATCATCAGATGGATTTATTGTTAACAAGAAACAGTGTATGTTTATTTTTCTTAATGTGGGCAAAAAAAAAAAAAAAAAAAAAAGTGAAAATGAAAGTGAAAATTTTAGAGCAACTTTGAGTTAGTGTAGTTGATTTATGGCACAGAATAATTTAGCTCTACAAGAAAAAAAAAAAAAAGTTTCGCAGACTTCCAAAAGACATTATATTGATTGACTTCCGAAAGACAATATGTTGATAAGTTTCCAGAAGTATGTTATTGACTTACGAAGGCAAACAAATTATTTATTGTCACATATCAGAAACATGGATGAGAACTCAAGTAATATTTAGGAAATAAAATACGAAAACAACACGCCACGAGAAATCTCAAAGCAAGCAGCCAGACGTCAAAATCCACTGTTAATTTCCTGGAAAAGCTGAGCCAGTTTTTAAACCATTTAAGTTAGGTTTTTTATGAAGTTTTGAACAAAGGTAATACTGAAAAATATTATTTGTAAAATAATAACCGTCTTACAAAATGCAATTACGACTGAGATTTTAACTGAATATGACTGAAAAGTCCTGCCTACATGAACATTCAGCAAACTCCTTGTTTAAGAGTTACCCTTGCTATGATGTTACATTATATTGGTATCCCAAAAAAGTCTGAATACTGGAGGATGTGCAAATTATGTTGTTATTCAAAATTTAGTTGGATGTGGCTACAGTAGAAATTGATCATTTGCAAAGTAAGCGAAAGAATAACATTTTTGTGAGTTTATGATTTTCATGTTATGAGCAGTGATTTTAAATAGGTAAATCACAAATTAATAAACTAAGTTCGCAGAATTTTCAGTAACAGTGCACACCGTTAGATTTAAGATTGGCCCAACCCAAATGGCTACAGATTTTCAGAAAAATAATAATAACCATTCTTTTGGGTATGTTTACAAAAGAAAGAGTAGAGTTTTATGTAAATTAAACAGTGAAGAAATAATGGAAAAAATACTTACAGCATTTATTAGAGGAACTAATTTCCCTTCTTCAGCAAGTATTTTTAAAAGCTCCATTATTAATGGTAAGTAATTATGTTTCCTTCTTATATTTTCAATCTAAAGAGGAAAAACAATGTTTAGAGGATAAGTTAACACAAGCAACATGAAATCTACTATTTTTTAACAAAAGATTAAAGTTAGTGTAATAGCTGTTTTAATAAGTAATGCCAAAAAATAATAATAATAATAATAAAAAATAATTTATTACATTTTGCTAATATAAAACTTCACAGCTAATTTTCAATTTGAGTGTGATGGTGATAGTTAATATTATAAATTTGTGTAAAATGTGTCAATGTCTTGAGGGTAGAGAAAACAAAGCTGGCATCCCAAGTAGCAGGGCAATGTTGTAACGATGTTGCAAACTGGTCACGAGTCGTGTTGTAAAAATGTTGCAATATGTCATCTTTAAAATGCTCAGATGTCCGCAAAACTCCACTGTTTTGCAACCGTTGCAAAGACGTCTTTATTACATTTTTGCAGATGAGGTTTTAGTCGCGTAGACATTATTGGGTCTTTCGGAGGTTATATTTTGGTTGTGAAAGCATCGTATCACGACGTCTTAACGACGCCTAAATGTTCACAAAATTCCACCATTTTGCAACAGTTGTCAAAATGTCGTTATCATGTCCTTGTGTACATATTGTCCATGTGTACATATTGATTTACACAGAAAAATGAGCTTAATAATTAATATATTTTTATTCATTTTAAAATTTTGTATTCCTATACTTTTCTAAAGTTTAAATATTTTATCGTTTCCTGAAAACCAGAAGATAATAAATTTTTTTCTCTTTAGACTAAATATGCATAATTAATAATAGCCTTAATTATTTTTAGTATTTTAAACTATAGTTTTTAAATAACTCAAGTTCTAAGTTATGATTATTTAAGATTTCATTTTTTTTCATTAAGTGAGAGTAATTATGAAAGTGGTTATTATAAATATATAACATTAATAGTAGGTTTAAGTAAATAAAACTCAATTAGCCATAAATAAAAGTAAAGATATATATGTGGGTTAAAAAAAAGAGCGTTTCCGATAACAACATTAACAGATTTATTTCTGTTAAATCTCAGAGACATTAAAAATTGCCCCTGTCATGATAAATTAGGAAGTGGTTCTTAAGGTAACATAATCAGTATTTTACCTGAACTCAAGTATAATTTATTCATGTTTCACAGTAAAAATATAACTATTAACTTCTATATCTCTAAGATATGCAAATTAAAGACTGTATAAAGTAGTTTAATAAATGTGATAAAAATATTTCAACACAATATACCTAATAAATAACTTCCCATATTCCATATCTAAAATGAAATAATAACCTAACAAACAAAATACATAACAGCACTATTTAAGAAAAAACCGAACTAGTAGTGTTTGAAAGTATAATAGTAGAAGGAAGGTAACAGAACTAAATTCCAATTAATAAAAAAATATTTGTGTTTTTTAATAGTAAGCAATTAAAAGCAATAATTATGGATTGCAGTATTTACTAGTAATGCTGATGTTTCTTAACATTATTTCTTTTTGATCATATGTAATGTATTTACTTATTTTTAGTTTCTACATTTTAGATTAGTGGTAGATTCAATGATATATTTCATGCACTTTTATAATAAATAACTTCCTTTTGTTACTGTACAGAAATTTTAAATAATTAGTATACATAGTATAAACTAAGTACGTTAAGTAAGCTCTTTGTTAAATAGCACCTGAAACTTTGCTTCTATTTATTATGAATTTCTTTGTTTATCACAAGCACATAAAAGGTAAGCGAAAAATAGAATATACTTATTTAATAAAAATTAAACCTAATTTCCAATTCATTTGAGATAACTAAACCTAACGGCAATATTAAAAAAAAAAAAAAAATGTAAATTACACAGTGTTATAGATACGGCAATTTGCAATCAATAAAATTTAGGTTTTTAGATTACCAATTAAATATCACATAATATAGATTACAATATCCATAGAAATGCTGGAAACTGGTTTTCCTTAACACCAGTTTTTGTCATACCCATACACTGTTTAAAATCATTAACCTTTTTTGCTACAACAGGACAACCACATAAATGTGCCTTATTATTAATTTTACTACATCTATCTACATCTTCAGCAGTCATATTAAGTACTGGCACCGTCCAATGATTTCTTGATTTTTGAAAATAATGAAATACCATAACAGCTTGAATTGTTGTTGCTTCTGTATTGACTGCTTTCAGCAAAACAAAGTGCCTTACCGTTGTAGTTTTTTGGTTTTATATGAATTAATTCTGAGACCCAACCTTTCAATATGAACACAATAATCGATTAATATGAATGATATGCGATAAAGCACTTAGAACATCATAACCAAAGCACAAAGCTAATAAGGGTATCCAAATATTGCACTGCTGGAACCACAAAGATTGGAGAACACCATCGAAACACATAAAACACCAAAACACAACACTATTTCAAGAACACTATATTCAGGATTAGCCATTGTAGCATTCCTATAGAGCAGATATTCACAAACCAAATAAGCACAAATTCAGCATTCTCACGATGATTTCTCCTCAATTCAGAGGCTTCCAAATACGAGCTCACAGCAATGGAATTTCACTCACCGAAGGCAGCTGAAGTAATTAGATACAGAACAATGAGAAGATTCACAATTTGCTCTTTGATGGTCAGTGAATTACATTTACTTTTAATATAAGCAATGTTATTTATATCAGTCATTGCTCGATTCAATTTCTAACATGAAGTCAGTCTTTTCAAACGCCTTACAGATGGCATCTTTACCAATTACTTGAAAGAACTGCTAGAATCTCAATTAATTGTGCAGTTCTTTGTTTCGATTTGGCAGCTACCAAAGCGCGAAATCTCGAGATGTGCGTTATATAAGCATCTAGTAAATAATATACCTTCTGCTTCTCCTGACTATCGATGAGTTTATGTCATATATTGGGTGTCTGTGGTAAGAACCAAGACCGTTTTACTAAACAGAGTATCGCCATTCAAAACCGGGTGAAAAAGCGGCACAGGAGAGCTGCAGGGTTTGGGCATGAAATGGAATGAAACAGAATTTGCATACTATCGCCATGGCGGCGATTTTCTTCTCTTTTCTCTCAGTTCGAAATGCGAACTTGGAAATGCCATTTTCGCAGAAGCTGCCGTTGAATTTGCAGAAGAGGTAACACCAGCCAAAATTAATAATTTCCTTAAAATTGGACATTTTATTTTAAAATTTAACAGGATAATTTTCATTCTGTAGAATAACATTTTGTAAAAGAATGTCCATCGGCATCTACAAAATAAAATAAAATAAACTGGAGAGAACAAACTAAATAATAAATAATAACAAAATAATAAATAAAAAAGAAGGTTTTTTAGTACTAGACGAATAAAAAATAAAAAAAAAAATAGATAACATAAGAAAAATGAGTGAATCAGAAAATAGTACAAAAGGAAATTAATATTTTAATGTTAATACGGTGTACTACAGAGAACTACAAAGTAGGCAAATCAAAGTGAGAAAGATATTAAATTAAATGAACTAAAAATGTAGGGCTTTTACGTTTCTTTCCAGGTGTAATTAGAAGTTTATTTTCACCCATTGTTGATACTTCGCGCTTAATTTTTGTTAATTGTATAACTCCGATACTCCAGTATCTTGCAATGTTCTCTTCAAAACTTGAGGAAGAGAACTACTAAAGAGTTCACTGAAGCTTCAGAAGCGCAAATTTCAGCGACATTGTACACTATTTGACGTGCCTGAGACTTTAAAGGTTGACTTTTCTTAAACTGGAAGGGCATTTAAAAAAATTCGTGATTAACAAAGCACTACGAAAATCAAGCTAAATAAAAGCAAATATGAACAAATACCAGTACAAAAGATATAACAACGAGAATAAAATTAGCTAATAGTAATAATATAAGGCTTAAGAAAAGATGCGTGCAGCTGGAATGAAACCGAGAGACGAATGAATAAACTCTTTTCCCTTCAGCCAACAGTCACCAAAAACAAAATAACAATAAAGCAACCCTTAGTTCGTCTTTATTTGAAATATACTAGCCCTGTTGCTATAGCGACCGCCACCCACCAGACTGTTCTTACCGTAGACAGACAGTAGGACAGCCATTAAATATGCATCGTCTTTTAACGGAATTCTTAAAATCGCCCCATTTTTATCCGTGAATACATCTTCACGCCCAATCATAGCTTCACGAAAATTGTACTTTTTGCACTGTATGCGGCAAAATATTTCATATAATGTTACCATATTAATTCAATATTCTCCTACTTCAAAATAGTAACGTCATTTTCAAAGTAAATAATTGCTGACATGATTTGCATTTATTTTGAAATTGATTTTTAAAAAATATAAAATGCATAATTTAATAACTTCTTATAGATTATTCTCATTTTAAAATTTTTGCTATAGATTTAAAAAATATTCACGTATAAATTATTTTAACAAATTGTAAACATTATTTAGCACACATTTTATACTAATTAAATTTAATAAATCAAAATATTTCTATTAATTTAATTTCATTAATGAATATACCTAGATAAATATATTAGATGAAATAAGTAATGAACATTGCAGAGAAATCTATCGGCTTCAGCTTCTTGAAAGGCAATTTTAGTCTCTTTTTATCTTAAAAGTAGCGCTGATGAACTACGGAAAAAATGCTAAAATGACTACGTCTAAAAGCGGTCATATCATGACGTTTCAGTGACGTCGACAAATTGCCAAGATGCAACGGCAAATATTTTGCAGCTTCACAACATTGTAAAGACGTCGTAAAAGTTACCACGACCACTCTGCAACTTCTCGGACCAGTTTGCAATGTCTTGTGCTACTTGAGATTATATTAAAGAAGGGGGAGGGGAGACTGAAGATGCTGATATCATTCACAAATTATTTTTAATCTCCTATTATGTTTAGTGAAAAGTTTACTGATCCAAATCTTTTATGAATTCGATATTTTATTATTTATTCACATTTTATGCTGATTTTGTTGGAGTATCTCAAAGTTTAAAAAATTAACTCATATCTACTCAAGCCAAGTCAATTTAAGTATAATTTTATAAGCTTACTTAACAATTTAACAAATAATTAGAATGAAAAACATTTTAAAAAGTGGACGAATGAGGGAAAGAATTGCTCACTTTACTTCGCAAATAAATCAGTAAATGTCAAAACGGGTTATTTAACATTTTTTTAAAAATGTGATTATTGGTGGGAATACATCACTACATGAAGCTTGCCAAAGCAAAAATTAAGCTTTCAGCACAATGCCTAAGGGTGAAATGGAAGGTTGGAACTCACAGAATTTTTTAAAAAGGAATGTGTGTGCACTCACGACTTACTTTTACTACTCTTTCCATCAATCTGTAGAGCCCTCTTCCCTTGTGGACTTTCTCATTAGTCTGTGATTACGGTTCCCACTGGCCAATTGTTTATGTCGCAGAGACTCATTTCTAGTTTGTTCATGTAGCTGCTCTTGATAGCTGTTTCCGATAATTTATAATGGAATCCGATTTTGCTGAATTAAATGAAAACCCAACAGAGGGAGACAAAATGGAAAAATAATCAGGACTTTCACAAGAGGAATGTAATAAAGAGAGCAAGGGTGATCGGAGTATAAAATCAACATCCTTCTTGAAAGGTCAAAGTTGAAATACATAAATTTCACATTTGACTGCTCTAGGGTATATTCCACCCCCTTCAGATAAAAAATGATCAATTTACATATTTTGAATTAGGCTAGGCTAGAGGACATGGTTTTTTCTTTCAGGAAAAAATATCATTAATTTATGTATTTCAAATTAGGACCTTTTGGGGTTATTTTGTTTCTTGGATTTCCCCAAGCTGGCATAGGTGGTATGTATAGATCAAGGTCTATTCAGTATAGACCTTGGGTTTTATTGATACCCAAGGTCTATTCTGTATAATCCATGGGTATCTATGCAACTATAATTGAAAGGGTTTTTCCAAAAAATACAAGGTAAAACCTAGAATGGGTTTGTTGCCATTTTTTTTTAACTGAGTTATTTCTATCAGAAAGAGCTTTAATTTTGTATTTTTTGCAAATAAAGTACAAAGTCAGAAACTGGGGGTTTCCCCAGTTTCTGACTTTGTACTTTAATACTACTTACTATAATACTTAGTTTGTACTTATAATACTTACTTTGTACTTTAATACTATTTACTATAATACTTAGGCATTTGTACTTTAATACTACTTACTATAATACTTAGGCATTTGTACTTTAATACTACTTACTTACTATAATTCCTAAATTCCTACGTCCTCCTCAATGTTTACATGATACTTTGAACCAGGCAGTACATTTTTCATTTGTGAAAGAAACAAAAGTGAAACACAATTTTTTAAAAAATGACCAAATAAACTGAGCTGAAGACATTTCAGATAATTTTATGGAAATCATAAAGAAGATAAACTTCTATAGAATTACCATAATGTGCATGGCTTATATTCAAGAGAAATCAAATATCTTCATTTATCAAACAGTAATTTAGTTTTAATAGGGATTTTGACAATAATGTTTTGAAGTATTGATGGTATTGCTATTTTTTTCCAATGGATGTACATATCAAAACAAGAGCCACACGTTGTTAAGAATCTTATCAAACTAAGAAGCTGATGAGTGGCATTAAAAATGGCTGAAACTGATAAAATTGAAATTTGTTTTCCTATCAGGGGTAACCCTTTATTACATGATCAAGATTTCAAAACAATCAAACACATCAGAAGAACTAACTGGATATGAACAGATACTGATCAAATCAAGCAGTTCAAGAACAAGCATACTAGGAAAGACAATAAAGTAATATTCAAGAGACCCATGTAAAGGAACCTCCTTTCATACGTGGTTTCAGATAAGATACATTTACCCTAAAAAAAACCTAGCACTCTCAAAACTTTGGTGGACCAACTAGAATTTAGTGAAGGAAACAATTTGATTAACAGAAATAAGGTAGTGGATGTTCAAAAGTGCAATTAATATATATTGGCCAAGCATAGAGACTTTTATGACATCAAGAAGTGGCTGACAACAGCAACAGAAAGCGGCAAAGATAATGGTGATGAAGATAAGAAAGGCTTTATTATTATTACAAAATTTTTTGCCTTTTCCTACTTATTGCTTACTATTATATTTTTAACAGCTCCTCAATGCTTTCAGACTTGTTTTTCTAATAAAATAAAATTTAATTATTATTATTTTTTTTTTTACAATTCACAGACTGTACCTTATTTTTTTAACAGTTTTTCTAAAACTATATTTTTTTTACTGTAAGATTTATTTTTATAAACAGCGACAAATTTTTCGTAACAGTGAGAGTTTTTCCTATTCTGTGCCCCATCTGGGAAAAAAAAAAAAAAAAAAAAAAAAAAAAAAAATTGCTACAAGTTGTTAAAAAGGGATAAGAATAAATTTTCTGAAATTCTGTGGTGGGGTCCATGAACAACTAAACTGTTTAAATAATTCTTCATTTCATGGATCCTAGTTGTATTAATGACATATTTTTTTTTGTTGACTTCTGTCATTCTTATGGAGAGCACAAGAGGTTTTTGTTGCTCCTGCAAAATTTGATTTGTCAGATAACTTCTTTTTTACATCTACTGATTTAAATACTACATGGGTGAATAACACTTGAGCTTAAGTGAATCATTTTTTGTTGTGCTTTTCTGTAGACAGTTCTGAGATGAGTTATATGTTGCATATCAATTGTATATACCATATTTATTTCTGCTGTTTTTATTCATGAAATATATATGCAATATTATTATGAAAATTTTAGTACGTACAGAAAAAATCTTGAAAACTAACAATACTGCCCTATTAAGCTGTATTATTAAGCATTGAGCAGCAGATATCATTACGCAAAAAAACATTCTTTTCTAATATTAGCAAATCATACACAGAATCAAACAAAAATAAAACAAAAATCACCTTTTGAAAAGTATAAGAAACATTGTTATTGAATATAATTTACATAATGCAAGCAAATCACATCTTATGCACACACTTAATAAATGTGACATCTTGGATATACAATCATAAATTCGGCAATTACCCAGAACACTTGTTTTTATTTATACCGAACAAAAATTATGTTTGTGGTTAATTTATTTACATGCTCTTGATTTTGTTTAAAGGATTTACATAATAAAGTAGTTAAAATAAAAGTATAGCACACTGCATATCTTTTAAGAAGTTGTTATATTAATTTGAATTAATGGGTACAAATGTCAAAAAAAATACAATACAAAGTCCGTAATCCGGACGTCCATTATCCGGAATGATCTATAATCCGGATCTCAAAACCACAAATTTACGCAAGTGCGTTTGATGCGTATTTAAAGCGTTTACCCATGCAAGCTTCCGATAGTGAAGAAAGTTACATTGAAAGAAATGTTTAATAAAATAAACAAATAAATATTACGCCTTTTTTTTTTTGAAAATTTTGATACTCTTTAGATCATAATTGCTCTTTATTTCATAAATTATGGTTTCATATTTTTAATTGTATAATTTCTCCATGCCATCTAACCAGATTTAAATTGATGATTTATAATCTGGAAAAACCCCTAATCTAGAATCGTCAAAGTTCCGACGAGTCCGGATTACGGATTTTGTATTGTACTGAATATAGTATATACATAACCTATAAATGTCAGTTGAATAAGTTATGGATAATGTTTTCTGCAAATAAAAAAATTCTTTGCTTAATATTAGACAGTAAAATTCTCAACAAAATTACAAGTTTTAATGTCAGAGCCTAAGTAAATAAAAATTAATTTCACTGTTTAAGCTTAAATAAGTGTACTTGGACAAATGAAAAGTAACTCTACTGTTTAATTTTGTTAAAAAAAGTGTGTTTTATTTTTATTGCAATATAACAGTATGAAGTAAAATTAAACAAAAAAGCAAAATTATTTTATCTATTATAGAATACAAGATATCTGCAATTTTAGTGTTCTCTAAAATCTGAATATATGAATGATGAAATTGCAGCATTTGTTGTAAAGAAAAACTTTTCACTTAAAATTAGTGTTACAGTTTACACTTAAACTTACTGTTAACTAAATCTCTAATAAATTTGGAATCAATTAATAATTTTATTATATTTCTTAATGTCAGTACTTACCTTATACCTCTTCTGCTTTTGTTCTTCTTCAGCTAGTAGCATATGGATTTTGCTTATTTCACTTTGTGTTTCTTCAACCTCCATTCCACCAGCCTGTTTAAAGAAATGACACATTTGATTTTTTTTTTTTTTTTTTTTTTAAAATAGCACAGTGCTACTCATTTTCAAGTAATAAGGCACGAACATATATTCAAAGTAATGCAGTTTTTAATTTTGATAAAGGAACTGTCACGAAAGAAGTATGAAATTATATGCACGGATAATATATGTGCTACTAAAAATTTAAAATAGTTTGTTTCATTTCTCTTGTATTAACTCTGGTTTGTAAATTCCTGATTATGCAGATTTCTTAAAAAAAAAAAAAAAAAAAAAATTTACAATTCCAATAATTTGTAAAGAGTGCACCATGAAAAATATCACAGAACTTGAAGAAGCAAATGCATGTAAAAATGGAAGTCCCCCCCAGCATTCCAGGTAGTAATATGCATATTCCAGGTATTGACATGCATGTATCATGCGACACAGCAGACAGAATAGCCACTTCTACAGTAGTTTAATTTGTTCCACAGCCTTTTAAATTCAGCACACTGAATCTGTTAAAATAATTCACTGCAAATTTTGATTAAGTTCCAGAAAATCACTTACAAGCATAAAATCTATTACTCATTGATATAGAAAAATTTTAAAGTATGCACTGTTTGTGCCCTTGGAAGATCTATCTCATGTACATGAAGAATAAACTGAACATGTCTGCAGCACCTTTGAATAAAATCCAAGGAAATCAATAATGGATACACATTTTTTAACAGTAAAATTTGATAAAGCAAACCTTCTCCACAATAAATGTGACAGTTTTGTCTACTGAATCATGTGGTACACACTAATTTTCTGAGTAAATTAACTGCTAGAAAAAACTTCAAATCCTTCATATCCATGTTTTATTGCAATATATTTAGCTGAACTTTAAAAAATAAAAAAATAAATTACAGTACCTGCCACTTAATGTGATTGTGGCTAATGTTATCTTTCAGATAATTATTATTGAACTGGCTATGGCCTACCCATTTGCATAAGAAAATACATAACGTATTGTGATCAACAATTCAGTTAATGTTATCAAGATAATAATACAGTACAAAGTCCAGATCTGGACTCGTCAAGACTCCTACGATTCCGGTTTTTGGATATTAGATCATCAATTTAAATCTAGTAAGATGGCATGTAGAAATAATAAAATTAAAAATATGAGATTGTGATTTATGAAATAACGAAGTATTTATGATCTAAAGGGTGTCAAAAATTTACAAAAAAAGCTTAATATTAATTTTTTTACTTTATTAAACATTTCTTTTAAGTTGTTTGAATTGCTTTGTTTTTTGTGCTAATACTTTCTCTTTAATTCCATAGACAGACATAATTTCTTATACAGTTACAAAGTTCCATTACTAAAGTTCTGTAATTGCTGTGCCTAGAATTTGGACTAACATGGTCACTCGGAAATTTTTTCTTCTTTTTGTCACTCTGTCTGTAGCGGTATTTTCTGGATTTAGAATCATACTACAGAGTTCGCCATCTGGTAATTTCTATCTGGTAATTGATTGATGATTGAGGAGCATTGTCATCACAGTGAAAAACTTCTTTTATATCCTCTTCATTTATTACTGCTTCTCCACATTTCTTAACAAAATCCACTAATTGGAAAATTTCACCTTTGGTTTGTGACATCCAAAAACTCTCAGATTCGCTATTATCATAAAATTTAGCTATCGTTCACTATACATATTTGGCTATGCATTACGAGATTGGCAACTAAAAACAAGTTGTTCCACTAAATTTTATCTTGCTTCTATCACACACTGTGACAGTTAAGCCTGATTTGTATTAATTTAGTTTCTTATTATATTTATGCCTATTTCTTGCACATGCTAAATGCTTATCTGAGTCCTGAATAAATAAATTCCCACATGTAATTAAGGCTTATTGAGAAGCCTTAAGCACCTGATGCAAACTCGGTGGCTCCTAAATTCTGCTACTAAGCCCTTGCTTTCTTTCCTAAATTCTGCAGAATTTAGGGAAGACAAAATTCCCTTTAACTTCCCTAAATTCTCCCGCCCAGTGCGGCCACATGAACTCTGGTTCACACGGCGCTGGTTCTGGGTTTATGTGAATAACAAATGACATATCAATTATTCTTAATTCAAATAGCACTAAATATAATATTTTGGCCTATGAGTATCATTAACAAAATCTACTTTTAGCATATGGAAATTATTGTTAAATTTTTCCTGTCAACATTTCTTAGCGCATTTAACTTAAATCTGTAATCCACCCCCCCCCCCCCCCCCCCCCGCCCCCCCCCCCCCCCCCCCCCCCCCCACCCCCCCCCCCCCCCCCCCCCCCCCCCCCCCCCCCCCCCCCCCCCCCCCTCACCAAGCGTAATGTCAACATAAAAGGTTATTATAGTGTTTCTCAATTACTAATATTAAAAAAAAATTTTTAGGTATCGCTCCTTGAGTCATTACTCAAGTTGTCATATGTTGATAAACATGCGGTGATGAAAGCAAAATATAATAAATAATGATTCGCTAGATTGGCATCACGGATATAAAATATTAATAAGTGTAAAATCAACGATGTATCTGTAGAATGTTTCAGTTTGAGATATATGACAGGCAGCTACAGAGTCAAGTTAATGATCATATAAATTTATGTTGAAATGATTGTTTTTTCAATAACGAGGTATTTCATTTATTGCCAAAGTAAAATAAAAAACCAGGACTCTCCAGATTTTTTATTATGTGTGTGTGGGGGGGGTGTCAAATGCACATGCATACAGCACACACACACACACAACAAAAAAAAAAAAAAAAAAAAAAAAAAAAAAAAAAAACTGTTGGTACTTGCCTTTGAAATCCGGATTTTAGATAATTCTGGATCTCAGACTTTGTACTGTAAAAATTTATTTTTGATTTAACTGCTTGTAATATTCCAGTAACAGAACATCCATTATGAAAATTATAATATCCTGAAATCTATTACTGCATGTTTCAAGTCAATATTGGCATGGCCACTTCCCACTGTAATATTATTACAGGTATATCAATGTAGATTTTTCGTATGTAACAAGACCCTGCCCGCTAACAGTGAATCTGTCTTTTGGGTAACATCCTATTGCAATTAATAATAGTAGAAAGATATAATAAATGTGATTTATTCTGTAAACAAAAACACATTTCTTCTTTTAGTAGATTTAACATATCTATGTTTTCAATGAACTTCTAACTGGGTTATTTGAATTTCATACAACAGACTTTATTTTTTTTATTAGGACTTACAGGTAGCTTGGATAACAGCACATTTCTTTAATTGGTGGTTTAATAATATGTCAATTCAGTATTTTTTACATTTATATACAAGCTCATTTGGGGATGTAAAAAATAAAATTCCAATTTTCAGAAAATTCAGCAAGGCATTTTGACGGCAATTTTTTCTTATATGTATATGCAAATAAATGTTTTTATAATAAACACAAACCATAAATGTCTTCAAATGTTTTTAGATAAATTCTAACTTTTGGATTATAGTACATTGTCTCTTAAAATTAATTTTCAGTTTGCATAATGAATTTAATTTCCGACAATTTTTCAACAATGAATTCCAAATGCACATACCAGCTTCACTTCAGTGGAACAAGAAAGCTAATTTAGATCAGAACACATGCAGAAGAAAAGAAATAGAAACAGACAAATTTCACAGTCCAAGAAATTCTATCTTAATAAATAAAAATTTCAATTCTAGCACACTTTGTTACCTATTAGTAGTATTATGGTACTTGGTTTTACCAGGTGACTGAAGCAGCAAGAAAAAAATATTGCCAAATTTAGAAGCCATAAAAAAACTTAGAACTAATGGAATTTTAACAAAAATGTTAAAAAACACTTTATTTTCAAAAATGTGTATTCTTAAAAAAAAAAAAAAAAAAAAAAAAAAAAAAAAAGAGCTGCAATTTACTTTTTAGGTTAGCCCTATACCTCTTTTGACTAACAGTATAGAAATCTTACCACAGGCAGAAATGTGATTTTTGAAACAGTGAAGGTCTTTCTTTTTCGCACAGTATTTTACACTGCATCTTCAGATGCCTTGCACAATTGTATATAACTTCATTTTATGGCCACCTTCGTAAATTAAGCTGGATGGTAAAATTCAGAATTGAAGGGGGGTGTCTTATGGAAAAAAAGATTTTACTATTCGTATTTACTTAGTTTTGGTTATGGGTTTGCTGTATTGTTTGGTGATTAATCACTAGGTTACCAGTAAAATTAAAAAGTAATGTGTTATTAATCCAAACACATATGCTGAGGAATATAATGGCAGAATAAGCTTAAGGATTCAGTTCAGGGAAATGCAGCTGGTAAGATAAACAGGTCACTTTTTTTATATTTTGAGTGCGAAAATTGCTTAAAAAATAATTTCAATCACAGATACACATTTTCTGTAATACAAAACACTCCCTTGCAAAAAATACTTGATTAAATAAGCACGACTATATTACTGCTAATTATTTACATTCAAACAATTTACACTTAATGCAGAAATAAAGTTCAGAAAGATATGACTTTTAATTCATAAAATTCTATAATGTGCATAATTCATAATCCCAAAGTATGCAAATTATCAACATTCTAACGATAGTATTTCCACAGTATAAATCTATTGTAACTGAATAATAACGCGCTGCAACAACTAATTACTAAACAATAAACTATAGAAATAAAAATATACAAACATTAAACTGATTGGTAAGTTCTTCTAGTCGTCTCTGGTATAACATATTACGGTCTGATATTAAAGCCATCAAATTAAAATGAATTTCTCCTTCATTATACCTAAAGGTGAAAATAAAGAGTTTAAATTTATATTTTATTAAATTTTAGTATCATAGTTATGCAATTAAGTAGTACAAATACAGTTTCAATACTGCAAATATTCATAAAAATTAATGAATTTTATATACAGGATGGGTGGGTCTAACTCCCCCTGAAAATTAGTCAAGTTAAAAAAGTTAATTTTCAATAGCGATTTAATTCCTGCCCTCTCTGTACATTCACTGTACTGAAATAAATTTAGTACTGCTGCGCAAGACCATACGTAAAATGAGAAAACGCTTTCTTAACAAAAAAAATTTCTAAAGGGAACTGGTTTGTATTTGTTTTTCATATGGAATCTAACAGCAAAAAGAAGTCAGCATTACCAGCTTTCGCAAAGCTACCAGTGCTTGTTAGTTTTATTTCCAAAGTAACTGAGTAAATGCTAAAAACCATTCATGCACAAAACAATAGAGTATAAAAATGCAAATTTAAACACTAATATAGTTTAATGCAGAAAAAAAAATGTAAACACATAAAAAAGTGTTATGTAATTACAGTAGATAATTAAATACGATTGCAAGCTTGAACTTTGGATGAATGAATTCATTTGAACACTGGTGGTTTCAAACTGGTGAAAGAAGCTGCCTGGAATAGTTTTCAATATACACATCAGTTAGTTTCCTTTAGGTAATGCTTTACTAGGCATTCCTCTCAAGTTGACAACTTCTTATTTTCTGAATATCAAGCCTCTCAAACTGAAAATTGGTACAAACAGAACACCTGATCATTTAAATAGAATTGCTGGTATACTTGCATATTATAGGGCTGACAACAGTTTTTTTTTTTTTTCCAAAATCAATTACCTATACAAATAATCCCAGTTTCACAAAAAAAAAAAAAAAAAAAAAAAAAAAAATTTTTTTTGGTTTGGGGGAAAAAAAAAAAAAAAATCTGAAAGGGATCTTATGGAGGAAGGGGAAAAAAATCACTCAGCATTTGTTTTCTGCAATACTTGCAGAAAAATGATATTAACTGAGAGACAGCATGCAGATTTAGAACCATTTTGCTAGTAATCTGGAATGAAAAAGTTGATCAGTCTAAGCATTCAAGTAATATTATTATATTTCAAGTCTTCTACATTAGTCACAGCAGAACAGAAATCTCTGTTTTTTACCACTAAAGCAGCTAGACAGAAAAAATGTAGATATGGTGACCTGATTGTTATAATGATGATATTCTGCTCTCCTGTACTCTTATCCTCTGCATCTCCTACCACTTAATCTCTGACAACTCACCATAATGCACCATCATCATGGGTCCCTTCTACTGTGGTCATTTTTTTGTTTGTTTGTTTCAGTTTTAGAAGATCAAATGGCATTAAAATGTTACTTCTATTTATTTATGCTCTGTATTTTCTCTATTCTTCTTACTTTTAATGTTACCTTTTATTAATTATTTGGTATAATACTTTACTGGTAAAGTTAGGGGGGATACTACTGGGAATAAATCCCCCCCCTTTGCATATAAATGAACATTAGCTGCTTCTTCATTTTAAGACATTTCAATCTATAAAGAGACATATCTTCACACAAAAGCTTTACTTTCAATGCTGAATTAACCACTAAGCAACATAAGCACATGCTTAGGGCATCAAGGAGAAGGGGCACCACAAAAATTTCCTATTGACTATTTTACCATGAAATGAACAGTGCACGTAAACTAAGAGAGAACGAAAGGGGAAAAACTGGGGTAAATATATGCAAGGGCACCAAAATCTTTTAAGAGCTTAGAGCCTCTAAAAGAGTTAATTCAGCACTGTTTACTTTTTTAAAAATGGGAAAATTTACACACTCATAAAAACACATTTATAAATAACAATACCAAATTACATAAAGAAACTATTGGTACGTGTTTCATACTAGTAACAATGAAAGTAAATTCCTCCTATTTGATGAGAAGAATTTACTTTGAATATTAAATTTAATTACTTAAAGCAGGGATTTTTCAGCCTTTTCCTTGCATCACCCCTTTTAAAAGAATAGTTTTCTTCATCAATCCCCTTACATTTTTTGCTCCGACATACAAATAATAAATGCATATAACATACAAATAATACATGCATACATAACTTAAAAATAATAACTAGACTTCGAACATAAGTGGACATTTTGAAAAAAAAAAAAAAGTTTTATTAGGCTTATATTTTACTATTTTTTGTATTCTTATACTTTTTAATTTTACAATAATAAACAAGTTATCAGACACAAAATCAGATTCTAATGGTTGAAAAGTTTGATTTTAATGAATGTGATGGCAGTGCTTCATGTACTGATGCCATTTTTTGAATATTTGGCATAAAATTGTTTAATTCTTAAAACACATGGTTAATTTAAACCATTTCTTGTTTTCTGTTGTCAAATATGAAATATTCAATCTTTTTCTTGTTTTCTGTTGTCAAATACTGACTTGACTAAAGCATGCTTCAACAGGATAAGAAAAGGGAAAGTCAATAATGCTCATCGGTAATGTAATTTGGAGATATTTTTCATGGATGATTTTTAAATTCCAAAACTTACCTTATTCAGAAAACATGTGCTTTGAATAGAACTTGAACAATCTGTGTACAAATAAAGCTTTATATCAATAAAAAAATTTTTAAATACATTTTTGTAATCAATGGAATCTTGAGTGTGCCACTGAATTGTCACTGCATATTCAGTTACTGACCCTAATCTATCTTTTGACCCTCTTTAAAATTTCATTGACCCGCAAGGGTCCATATCGACCCTGCTAGGAACATGTGATTTAAAGGATTTGCACCAAATTACTTAATTGGGACAGAATATGCTAGACTATCTTCATTCTAGTTTAGGCTAATAACATCCAGGTCACACAATTTAAGAATCGTTTACCCATCTTCCTCTATCTCCAGTCTATTAAAAGGATTTTCATTTTTACAGATTTTAAATGCACCCATCCTGCACAGATACTGCAGTCACAAATGTCTTTGCCTTGTCAGGGATTTGAATCTAAGTTCAGTATCATGTTCAATTGAATAATTTTTGTATAAAATACTAGTACATTGCAAGAGAAATGTATGAAAAATGTATACAAAATAAGAATACATACTTTTGTATTCTTTTTTCAATAACAGGCCTAACAGTTTGCAACCAATCACCATTAGGATTTACTGGACCTGAAATATATAGACTATTTTACAAATAAACATACACACAAGTACCAGATCAAATCAAAAAAAAAAAAAAAATTAATACAAGTATCAAGACAGTCTAAATTTTTTGGGTGCCCAGGAATATTATCTATCAAAAGAAAGGCTTTTGGTTCAATACTGTTTTCACAGCAATAATGTTTTACCAATGAACAAAATTAATTTATATACCATTCTTTAAAACCTTCTATAGAGACCCAAGCTTTTCTGTTTAATTGCCAAATCATGGGAACTGCTGATTTGTTCATTCCTTTCAATGGCCATGGTTTTCAGTATGATGCACAAGCAAAAGTATGAATTCCAAAATCACCTTTTGCGTTACCTCCTAAAAGCAAGATGAGTCTGTCTTTTGATGCTTTAAATTCAGGAGCATGTTTTTCATCTCATAAAATGTAGGTAGGTGATGGCATTCTCTTCCAAAATAAACTATTTTCATCCACATTGAACAGAACTTGCAGAGTACATATTCCATCAGTAATAATTTTTGTTAAAAACTGTGGAAATCCTTCTGCAGCTTTGTAGTAGGACTAGCTGCTCTCCCAGTAATTCTCAACTGTTATTTTGTTTTTTGAATTGATCAAACTATCCTCGACTAGCAACAAGAAGCTTAGAAGTTTTACTGTTTCTTCTTGCATAAGATTAACCATTTGAGTCTTAAGCAGTGCGATCGCGCTGTTTAGATTTTGAGAAAATCCAGTACATTTCAAACAATGTGGACAACCAACAGTGCACTTGATGTTGATAATGTGGGTACTTGATTTAAATCAAGTGCACATTAATGTAAAATAAACAAAGCACTATTGTGCCACTTGGCTTTCTCGACATAAAATAAAACAAGCACTATCGCGCTGCTTGGGTCTTTTTGTACTCATTTAGAGAAAGCACGGTTGTACTGTTTGGGATTCTTCGACAGTGTTTTTTCAATACCCCCTGAGACTCACAGGGTTAATAAAAATGTTTTTGCTTTAAACATAATTATGGCTTAATTTAAGGGAATCTTATGTGGTGTTTCATGATCCATTCAAATGCCGAGTCATCTTTCCATCTCTTCAAAAAACTGAATTTCTCCATTTCATTACTTTTTTTGCTATCATGCTTAATGATGCAGAAAATTCAATTTTTTCTGAATTTTGCAAAGTTGTTTGTATAGTTTAAGGTCTTTTTCCGATATCAATTTGGCTCTGGCTGCTTTCAAATTGATGTAACATTTCCAGCTTCACTTACTATGAAATAGCTTTTTAAATTGGTTTGTAAAGAGCATTATCTCAATTCAGCATAAATAGGTGTAACACAAAGTATTAGTGTATTGTTATGTTCTTTCACATAGTAAAACTTCAGTTCATGTATTTAATTATCCCTATACACCATTTGTCATCCGAAATACTCTTAAACCAAAACAATTAATGTAAAAAAAATATATTAATCTATTCCTCAACAACAGATGATTCTTTCACAGCCCCACTGGAGCTATTAGTCTCGAAATGAGATTATGCACGGAATCACAATAAATGCATTGTTCCACTTTTCATTGGATTCTGTAACCATTTAGCAAAATGTACGATATTTATCTTTCTAACTGAATCTGTCTGTTGTAGATTAATCCTCTAAGTGGCATGACTGACTTTATCCGGTCATGAGATTTTTTTGTCACTTGGTATATATATTAGCTTATAATTTAAGACAGTTTGCTTTCTTACTTTTTTCTAATAATGTAAATGTCATCTTAATGAATGTGAGTTTAGGAAAATAAGAGACTAAAATAAGTAACTGTATAAAATTAGCTGATACATGCTGTTTAAATGCAGGTCTTTATGACAGCTCCAAAAACCCGCACCACTCAGAGGGTTAACAAACTAAGCTAGACAGAATTAGGCTGACTTAAATAATTAAAATGTATTTAACTCATGATCTTAATTAAAAGTATTCAAAATTTTCCATGAAAGATATATATTTTTTCATTATTTATTTCATATTTTGTAAAACTATAATGAATTTCTGATTAACAGACTCAACATTTGAAAGCAAGCAGTGGACACACTGTACGAAATAAAACATTTTTGTCTCCAGCACAAGAGACTGTCTACTGGAAATTCTAAAGATATGCTGTTTTTAAATATTTTATGATTTTGTTGCTGAACTGAATTTTATGCGATGTAAGTGCAAATGAACGAAGTAAGATATGATCATATCTTTTGTTCATTTGCGCTTTTGCAGCTGAGGATGATGGTTTGGTAAAACCATCGAAACTAGCCCTGTGAAAATTTGAAAATATAATGCTGATTTTTGTTGTTTGACTTCCAAGTTAACTTAAAAGTTGCTTAATGGTACTAATGAAGTCGCCTTGTGTTTACATTTGAAATTCTTAGTAGAACAAGGAATTAAGTCAGATTCTGCACCAATGTCTGTGTCTTTTTGCCAAGTGTGACCAAAAGTAAACTTTCAGTTTTGTGCACTGAAAAATCTGCCTTCTTGCCCACTCACAGAATTGCTTGCTTTTGCATAGAAATTCTAATTTAAATTTTTTAAAACTGTTTTAACTGTATTTGGTGTTTTATATTTTTCTATATTTTTGCCTTTGCGCAAAGTGAGAACTGAATTAATAGAATTAGAAATACATCTCTAATGAAATTCGAGAAAATAAGTTTAAATGAAATGCAGCAAGAAATGTGTATAATTTAATAGTCCATACAAGGAAGTCATATGGTGTTCATAAAAGATTTTTTTTTTAAAGGTTTGCACATAATTTCTTAATGTAAAACAACAGGAATCATTAAATCTAAAAGAAGTAAACACAATATTAAACTAAGAAAATGGATGAAAATTTACTTTAACCCGTAACAGGGGACGTGCGGTCTGACGGACTGCGCCACATGTTCCTCCCATCACCCCTATTGCATACTTTGTCCAAGTGAATGGATTCTTCCCCTAGCTTCACGTTTCGTGACCTTCTTTCTGACCCCTTCTTATCGGAATGCTTTGGCAAGTGTATCTGTTGAAATTCTTCTAGAGCGGTCTGTGAGACCTCACCTCCCTCTCAGTGTTACAATTTTCGGCAGCAGTGAACACATGGCTCTGAAGTTAGGTACACGGAGATTCATTTATCCTTCTGATCCACGTTATGTAGAAGAACTGAAAAAAATTCTAGACGAAGTTGGAAGTGATTTTAGTAAAGAAGATGATTGTGAAGAAAATTTCTGCGAAAAAGGCGAGCAGTGGATTTGATGTCATCATTGCATCATTCGATAGAAACAGACTCGGAAACACAGAAACCTGAAATAATTGTTTTTTATAACAGAACCAAAGGTGGTGTTGATGCTTTAGATGAAAAATGTTCTGTCCATTCCTGTAGTAGGAGAACAACGCGTTGGCCTATGGCTCTTTTCTACCGGTTAGTAGATATGAGTACAGTAAACGCATACATTTTGCACCAAGGTTATAACCAAAACCCTGTTATGACCAGAAGGGTGTTTTCGAAAGAATTAGCGAGAGAATAAGTAGTCCAACCACCACTACACACGAGAGGGAAAAATCCAAGAAAAATCGAGAATTGCGCCTGACGATAAAGCAGGACTTTTAGGATAAAGAAGCTGAGTCTAAGGATGTGAAGCAGTGCACAAAAGAAGCTGAGTCTAAGGATGTGAAGCAGTGCACAAAAGAAGCAAAATTCAAAATCAAGGAAAACATGTCGTCTGTGCCCCCCAAGCAAGAAAAGAAAGACAGTATATTTATGTTTATCTTGCCAAGACCCTGTTTGTTTGGAATGCAACGCAAAAAGTTATGCAATGAATATGCTAAAGAAGACGAAAACTAAATTGTTTACTATCAGAAAATCAGTGAGATACTGATATTTTAGGTACTGTCAAAATTTTTCTGTATTGCGCTACATACAATTTTCTGATGTTAAAATTTGCTTTGAATATTAACTAATATAGATAAAATAGTTAATTCAAAATAGATGCATTCTTATTTTTAGTTTTATAGAATTTAGTGCAGCATATGATTTTCATTGAAAAATTTGAGGCTATGGGGAAATTTTTTGGGAAAACTTTAATTTCACTTTAAAGTGTAAAAACATATTTTCTTTTCAGATTATTGTTTCAATAAGGAGTCCCCTTCAACAAAAATATTATGTTACTGTCTTTCTACAGCAGCTTCTTTTATTATCTCTTTATCTTTTAGTGCTATTCAACTTTGCTTGAGATTCACATCGTCTCTGTTTCATTCAATATTTGTCCAATGTGATTTACTGTTTTTACTTTAAAATATTTCTTAAGTGAGACATAGTACAGTAAAAAGTCATTAATTCAGACACCCATAATCCGGACTTCAAAGATACAAGCTTTCTGGGCATGCGTCAACTCGACGCATGCGCATAGGCGTTTATGCATGCACGTAAGATCTTTATGGCTGCGCATATGCATGTGCGCATAATACGTTTACGCATGCGCATTTAATGTATAACGGACGGTATAAGCTAAAATTATCTATTTCAGTTAATGTTGCAGATTGCATTGTTCCTTAATCTTCGAATTGGATCCGGCTTATTTATTTTTGCAGACTGTTAGAGCAATTTTATAAAAGTAAGCTTGAACTTTCGATTATGTCAAATAGAATTTCCGATGCTGGAGCTTCCAAAGGATCTACAAAGCGAAATTATGTTTCGATGTCCATCAAACAAAAAGTGGAATTGCTGCAAAAAATGGATAAAGGCATGAAGAAAGTGACAGAGAGGTTAGTGAAAACGAAAAAATTCGATTGACAAATTAGTCGGTATTCTCGACACAGCAATTACAGGACTTGAACAGTGGAACTTTGTAACTGAACAAGAAATTATGTCTGTTTATATAGAATTAAAGAGAAAGTATTAGCACATAAAACAAAGCAACTTAAACAACTTACATTAAAAGAAATGTTTAAAAAAGTAAAAAAATAAATATTAAGCTTTTTTTTTTGTAAATTTTGATACC